TATCTTGGCAAATTGTGCTTGCAAGGGAGCTTGTATTGCAAGCCCATATCTCCATCTAGGTAGAAGAGAGAGTTAGGTTCTCGTTTACTTCAAGGATTCATCAGTGGTTTTCAAAGGCTGTCCTGACCCACCACTCTACACTGTCCATTCCTCCCCCACCCATTCTCTCCTCCTTTCCCCAGAGTTTTTTTTTTTTGGGGGGGGGGAACAGGTTGTACTTCTTAGACCACTGCTGGCAGCAAGGAAAGAGCAATCTATATTGGCATTGTGGTCTCTCAATGTGCTTATGTATCCTTGTGTGTGTGCATGCACATGTGTGTGCAGTACCTGAACCTCAGCTCAGCACTGCGTGCAAACCCCAGAGCTGCAAATGTTGTGTATACCAGTTTACATGATCATTTCATTTTAGAGTGAGCCAAGAACTCTTGATCATGCCAGGGATGCTGGAATCTCAACATCTGAATATTTCATTCCTTGCATATGTAAACAAATGATTCTCCCATGGTAATAGTTCACATCCACAGGTCTTGAGCTTCCTTGGATTAACAGGGATGCCTAATAACATTCTACTCTGTGGACCACTCTGTGAAACAAGCCAAAAGAAAGAGCACAGATCAGAGCCCCGTTCATTCATTCATTCATTCATTCATTCATTCATTCATTCATTCCTTGTAGCAATTTCCAGAGGGGTGGCTGTGTCAGTCAGCTATGTCAAAAACAAAGGATCAGTAAACACCTTTTTCAAAGATACATTTCAGTGTGAAAGTGCTGCATTGCAATTCATCCAAATATTCGATTCTTTTTATCACACACTTGTTGATCAGCTCATAGAAGGATGTCTGCGTACCCGCCCCCCCCACACACAGTTTTGTGAATGGCCATCTTATCACCATCAATATCTTCTACATATCTAGGTTCCCTCTAACCTCACTGTTTATAATAAACAGACCTGCTCCCTCTGCATAAATTGCCTATGTCCGTGAACACTTAAGCCATGATACATTTGTCAGCCTGTAAGATGCCACTAGATCTGTTGTTATATTCATTCATCCCTCTAATTCTTGCAAAGCATGGTAGCCTCTCCTGTGTAATTGCAGCCCATGAATCCCAGGCACTGCTCCAGTACAGCACTACAGCCTGTTGGCTCATTGCCCAGGACTTGTGCATTTGATAGGAAGTTAGGCTCAGTTTTCTGCTTCCTGGCCTTGCCTCTCCCCTGATGAAACCTTTGGCTGCTGTTGGTGTCTTCTCCTGCTCTGGCAGGGAAGAGAGGAGGAGAGTTTCTGCTCCTCCCTCTGGGGAGGCTGCTCAGTGCAGTTGCTTCTGGCTGCTGCTGGTGGCTGGCACTATTCTGCCTTCTCTCTCCCATTGAATGATGTGTGAGAAGCACCCACCACCACCACCACCTCTAACTCCTTGCCTCTGGCTTAGGGGTGCTCAGGTTCCTCAGGAAGCATTTTCCTCTGTTACATTCAGAAGCTGTTTCTTTGCTAATCCCTTAAGGAACCAAGAAAATTTCTCAGCAAGAAAATATCCCAAACCTTGCGATTTGTGTAGATTTCTTGCTTCATCAAGATTTGAAGCATCAAAAAAGGAAATATTGCAGGGGTGGTAAAGAAGGGGAGAAGATCTCTAGCTTCAGAGCAAGGAGAAAGGGACAATTATTTCCGGTGGCTTAAAACACACAGTAAAAGGAGCCAGTGCTGCATTATTGAACTGAGGATCTAGCACAGCAATTTTTAAATTACAAGGACTGAGAAAGGGGGCAAAAAAGGTGGCATCTGTCTTCAAAATGGGAACAGACTGTCTGTAGTTATACTACCCAGGGGGCTCTTCCTGATTTCTATACCTAGAGGCATGAGCGAGGAGGAAGATCCTGTTCTGAAGTGTCAAGCGGGCTTGCTTGACAGCACACTCCACAACAAAGTGGGAGTAGGCAATGAACATTGGCTGAAGCAAACTCCTTCTCTATCACCCTCCTTCCCCTCGCTCCACTCCACCCCCTCTTCCATGCCAGCCCCTGCAAGAGCCCAGAAGGAGCAGGGAAAAGAGAAACACCAACAAGCATCTCGTGCTTTGGCTACTGGGCAAACATGCACAAACAAGAGGCTGGTGGAATTGTGAGGGGCGAGGACTGAATAGGCAGGAGCTCCCATTCCCCAGAGAGAGGCAGGTGGGGCGGGCTCTTTTGAGGCAGCCTGGATAGAGAACAATTTGTGGCATTTGGGTGTTCTGCTTTACATGGCTGGAGCAAGTCTAGCGTAGGCAGTGACCTGCTTTCTGCTGCTGTAATATTCAACCCAGCCAGACTCTGAAGTTACTCTGGTTTGCTTCAGTGATACTGCCTCAGCACAAGATGACAATGGTGCAAAAATAAAAATGGAGGAGGCTGTGGATTTGGGGTTGTCCATCTTATGCCTCAGTGGTGGTGAAGGAGCCACCTTGACCTGATTACTCTGCAGTTCTGTCCCACTGATCTCCAGAGGAAGCCGCATGCACCTTTCCTCTCAGAGTGCATGTGCCACCAGTGAGCACACCAAGAAAGGGAAGGGCTAGCAGAAGACAAGTGCCATTGACCAAGGTAGTGTCCTTCCTTCCTCATTAGCAGAGGGCTGAACTTTGCTTCCCCTGCTACATTTCTTCCTCCATTCCAGCGGCACCTTGCTGACAACTGCCATTTAAAAATAATCCTAGCCCAGCTTTGTCAGCATTCAAGATCTGGCAGCTCAGGCCTGGAGAAGGACAAGGAGAACAACCCTATGCATGTTTAGACAGAAAATAGGCAGAAAAAAACACGAGTACACAACGCTATGCATGTTTACATCCAAAAGTGTTCTACAGACCCCAGCATTCCCAGCCGGCCATGGAAGCGGCAGGACACTTTTGCTTCGTTTCAGCTTGATCTGATTGTGCCCTAAGCCCAACATCCATTTAGGATATGGAACCAGTAGGCTGTTCAAGCTGGCCCTCCGACGCATAATGACAGCTGGCTTTATCACACCAGCGGACGCCGAGTCTGGAAGAAGTGGGAAAGTAAGGATGTGAAGCCTGGAGAACTTCCATCCATCCATCCGCACGCCCCTTGCCCGGGCTCAGAGCTGCTAATGGGCAGCCATTTGCTGGCATGTCTGCGGGCAGGCTGGCCTCGACCGCTTCTTTCCCAGCTCCCAAAGCCCCACAGGCGCCTCGGCGCTGCTGCGCGGGAAGGTATCAAGTGCCGAGCCAAGGAAGCAGCAGACGCTGCTCCTTCGGGAGCCGGTGCCACGGAAATGAGTTTCTTCCGCTGACTGCTCCGAAGGCGCATCCCTCGGGCTGATGCCGCTTGCGGGAAAACTCGCCTTTACTGGAAGCGAGTCTCCTCGCCAGAAGAGGCTGGCTGCGGTACGGGGCGAGGGGAGGGGAGGGGGCGGGCGAGGGAAACTGAGACGGGGCTTGCTTCTGTTCCGCAGGCAACAGTGAGCTCTTGCTGGCCGGCTGGGACCGTCCGGTCCTCGAGTGGAAAAGGGACGCTGGCAAGAGCGCCGGGACGACGGGGACGGCCGAGGAACTCGGACGCTGCCTCGCCCACAAGAAGCGCCGCTTTTAAAAGAAGAGAAAGCTGGTGTTCACCGTCCGCTTTTGCGCAGCGAGAAATTGGGGCGGGGGGGTGGCGGCGCTGGAGCAGCAGCAGCGGCAACACACCCCGAATTTGCGAGGGGCAGCAGATCTGGCTGGGCAACAGGGCTTCCCTTGCGCAGGGCGTGCTGGGGCGCAGGACCGGGCCTCTGTGCATGGTCAAAGCGCCCTGATCGCTGAGCAGTCGCAGCGAGCAAGGAGGGCTTTGGGTCAGGGAGCAAAGGCTTCCGCAACTAGCACTTCTTTTAAACAACTTACTACTGCCTGGTCAGAGGAGAGGGGAAGTCGGGGCCGCAGGAAAAAAGCCCTCTTCTGGCAGCGAGCTTGAAACCCTGCACACGCAGGGTTTGCCCAGCACGCGCAGATCTGAAAGGATCGTCATTCATATCTTTGTTCAACGTCCTCTTTGTCTGCCCTCCAGGTATTGACTCATTCAGACGTGTCGACATGGCCTTCTCTTGTCGAACACAGTACAGAGAGCGACACGATCACATCTGCTAGGGTGACACACGCAGACTGGTTATAGGCACCCCACAGATCCGGGAGCCGTGCGCGCGCGTGATTCACATGATACATTCTCAGGACTGGATTGTGCCCGAAAATGCTCCCTACAACTGTCGCCCTAGCCTATCGCGAGATCGTCCAGCATCAAAACACATTCACACAATCCCTCAAAACCTTATAGTCTCGACTCTATCTGTATCTGATTATACTAGGGTTCCTTCTTACACGTCCCTTCCTCCGGTTTCTTCAGAAACAGCACACCTGGCCATGACTACTGTACACACGGGGCTACATGCACGCACGTGGATGCGTGTACACACGTACACACGGTACAAGGCACCACTGCTTCAAACATCTACTCCTGGAACGTCAAGTTCCAATACATCGCTCTATATTTCTCACAAGGCCACCTTCTAGGTTAGCTACCGCAGACAGAAAGGATCTAGATAAGCTACGGTTAAACACCTCCGGATACACGGTGCTTAGCGGCAATTTCAGACATGCCGATCATATTTCCACTCCGCTGCACACGAGGACGCCTGACGCGGCTGCCACCACCGCGATGTGTTCTTGCTTGCATGCGTGCGCTGGGCGCCCCCTCCCATCGCGGTGGGCTTCCGTGCGCCCACCGTTCCGTTCCGTTCCGTTCCGTGCCGAGCAAGGAGGACAGGCGGCAGCTGCGCACCAGCAGCCGGCCCGGCCACTCCCGCCGGGACCTTCGACTTCTACTTAGGCCTCCTTAAACAGGAAGCACGATGGTCACAAGGCAATTAAACAGGGATTCCACCCCATTATGACGTCAGGGGCGTTGTAGCCCCTCCCGCACGCTATAAAAGGAGCCCGCGTACCGCAGTCAGCTCAGCAGTTCGGTGGACAGTTCCATGGTGCTGAAAGTAAGTCCACGGTTTCGAGGCTCCTCCGCGCCTGTTGGGAACTTTGCCCCAGCCATGTTTGCAGCGTTCCGGTGCAGCATCGTGTTAGTCTCTTTTTTCTTCTGGAGAGGATGCGCCCAGAATTTCGGGCAGACTCGGTTTATCTGTACTTCGGTGCCCGTGGATATGGACATGTGCACTTCTTCTATGCAGAGCGGCGGCAGCGCTGAAGACTTGAAGACCACTGTGCTACAGCTGCGGGAAACAGTCCTTCAGCAAAAGGAGACCATCATGAATCAAAAGGAGACCATCAGGGAACTGACCACGAAGCTGGGCAGATGCGAGAGCCAGAGCTTTCTAGAGACTGTCCCCAGTGAAGCCAAAACGGGTGGGGGCTCCAACAGAAAGCAGACCACCTCTTCCAAAAACACCATGGGAGATCTCTCTCGGACTCCAGCTGCTGAGACCTTGAGCCAACTTGGGCAAACTTTGCAGTCACTTAAAATCAGGCTAGAAAACTTGGAGGTACAACTTTCTCCTTTCTCTTATTCCTTAGAGCTAGACAAGGAAACAGGTCAGACGTGGCTTTGGGTTCACCAGCCCCTGCCATCTTCTGTGTTGCTCTACCAGTGCAACCTTTGCCCCATTCCAGAGCTAAAATGTCTGCAGTAAAATCCAAAGTACTCCCCCCGCCCCCCAGCCACCAATATCCGGTGTGCTTTTTCTGTGTTAGATCAGGTGTGTTCCTCATATGAAACAATGCTCCTTTAAAGAGTTCAGCTGTCAGTGTAGTGAGAGCATCAGAACGAATCTCTGGTAAATAATGCTGTGGTGTTAATTTGGTTTGCAACAATCCATTTACTCTCTTTGCTTCTCCCCTACCCCACACAGCAATTCAGTAGGATGAATTCTTCAAGCCAGACCAATTCCTTGAAGGATATACTACAGAATAACATTGATGATTTGGAGAAGCAAGTGCTGTCTCGAATTAACAGCCTGGAGGAAGGAAAGTACAATCCCAAGAACGAGTCTGAAGAAAGAGGGAAAATAGAAAGCACTTTAACTTCCCTTCACCAAAGGATCAGTGACCTAGAGAAAGGTAACAAATGAAAGAAAGGAAGAAAGAAAAGGGGTGGGGGAGCCTAGACTGAATTGGTCAGAGTTTATTCCAACGATGGCACATCTGTATCCTCTCCCCCATCATTTCACCTTACAGAGCTGTTCTCTCCGTCTTTTGTTGTCTAAACAGATGTAGAATTGATTCTTTACATTTAATTCTGAGAACTCTGCTGCTCTATTTATCTTTGGAATCAGTAGATGGAAGCTAGAGTGCAAGATGATAGTATATTTATGTGGGAATAGATAATATATAATTGTTCCAAAAAGGTATTTGTCAAGTAAGAAAGTAATGCCCTTCTTATGTTAATAGAGTGTCTTAGACTCTGCACACTCAAGACTGGGGAAATGCTCTTCAGTGAGTTAACATCTCTTAAAAATGTTAAATGCTTTGGGGTCTACCCTCTAAATGACCTAGGAAATGCTATATTTTTCCTCCTCTAAGCAAATCGTGCACCTGAAACTTCAATAGCACCCATTGTTAAGCCCATTCAAACCTTTTGTTTCTTTCCTCCTTCTGGACTCATTAGTGTACATTAGCTTTTTCTAGATTAATGGTAAAAAATGTGTGTAGGGAGAACGGAGGAGCAAGAAAAAGACCCTATTCTCCAAACGCCATCCATGTGACCAGGATTAGAGTGCAGAAATGTGCTGGAGGGATTTAAACACTGCCATCTTAAGGCTCATTATATAATGGAAGGAAGGAATGAAGAAAGGGAGGGAGGAACGGAGGAAGGGAGAGACAGACAGAAAGGAAGGAAGGAAAGAAGGCAGGCATTGCCAGGAGAAACTGTTTGGCTTTGGCTGCTAGCCTTGGTGCTGAAAAGGGGATTAATTGCATTGCTATACCTCTTGTAATTCTGTCTCTGTCATTACCCAAATACAACCACCCTGTGTTACAGTGCAATTCAGTGCACGTCTACTCGGAAGTAAGTCCAACTGGGTTAAATAGCATTTACTCCCCATTACATATGAACCGGATTGCAGTTTTACTATTCCCCCCCCCCCCCCCGCCCGCAAGATACCTAGCAAATGTCCTCACTATCTTCTCCAGGTCAGAAAGATAACAGGCCAACAGACAAGTTTCAGCTGACTTTTCCCTTGAGAACCAACTACATGTATGCCAAGGTGAAGAAAAGCCTTCCCGAGATGTATGCCTTTACTATCTGTATGTGGATAAAATCCAATGCTTCACCAGGTGTAGGTACACCATTTTCTTATGCAGTACCTGGACAAGCCAATGAGCTGGTGCTCATTGAATGGGGCAATAATCCCATGGAAATCCTCATCAATGACAAGGTATGTAGCATTGTTCTTACTCTCTTATTTGCTTTGAAATAATGTTATTGAGGAAGGGGTTAAGTATACATTAATAAACAAGTGTTAGGGAGATTCACATTAAACATATAGTTAAACAATTCTCTAATTATTCTCTAATTGTTCCAATTCTCTACTATTTCTCCAAGCATCTTTTGCAGAAGATGAACATACTCACAAGCCTCTGCTGCTGGTGCTAATTGACACTGCAGCCAGTAGTATTATAATACAGGAACTTTGCTTTTAAAGCAAAGACACAGGAAATGAATTAAAACCCTTGGAAGCATTGATCTCTTTTCTGGGGCAACTTAAATATAACATGCAGGCTTTTAAAAATGAATTAAAGTCATTTAAAAATGAGTTAGCTTGCTCTCCAGAGAAGTAGAAGTCCTAGTTATTCGCTCTCTTCTCCAACATATAAGCACTGCATACATTTATATTTACTAAGGAGACATCCTGAGTTTTATTTTCATGGCCTTTGTGCACAAGGTAATTTTCAGAGGGGTTTAAGGCCCATCTTGCATGACAGTAGCGCCACATTTTCACAAGTGTGACCATTCTGTTGGCTTTAGGTTTTCAAGTGTATCACACATCTCAAGATATATTCTGTCACAAGCAGCCAGTCTTCTTGAGGTTTGCAGGAAAAATGCATCAGCCGCACTACCCCAGATTTTAAGAAGCCTACAAACATTGCTTAGGATCTCCTAAGCAGTGTAAGTTTACATGGATGCCATTTTGAGATCCGGTTCATTACTGGTACAGTGTTTAAGCCAGCAGGAATGATCCTGTCCTTGAAGACAGAAGAAACATTGTCACTAAATTCACTTGGTGTAGATTCCATTTCTTTACCCCTGCCCCTTTCAATTCCTTATGTTTAACAATAGAGATTGGGTGTCTAAGACGCTGCTGTGAAAATTAGATGAAGTTTCTTCTTTTATTAAAGAATGCAACAAATCAGAGAGGACATGGATAAGGAGGACAGTAACTAGAAGGTTACCAGTAGAGTTCCTACTGTCCTTCTCTCCTGTAAGGGTCACACACCTGCAGCCATTCTTCTCTTCTTTTCTCAGGTAGCAAAGCTTCCTTTTGTCATTAATGATGGGAAATGGCACCATATCTGCATCACGTGGACAACTCGGGATGGTGTCTGGGAGGCTTATCAGGATGGTACACAACGAGGCAATGGGGAAAACCTGGCCCCTTATCATCCAATCAAGCCACAAGGGGTACTTGTTCTGGGACAGGAACAGGTAAGCTAGCCGAGTTATGGCAGAGGAGAGCAAAGCCACTGCATTTTGTCTATGTCCTGCATATGATTTGCGGTAATTTAATGTGAAGACTGGCACAGAAGCTGCTCAGTGCTAGAAATGGGTAATATTTTCAGCTTCTATTCTGGATAAAATTAAATAGATCTTGATTTACATTTTGAAATCCATTATGCTTCCAAGGTTCAGTCTAGAATCAATCTTTAATTTCAGATGCTTGAATGTCTGTGTTGGGTTTACTGGAGCCCAGCAGGTGTTGGTGCCTTTGGACGCTCCACTGTTTCAGCTGATCTCCTCCTGTCTGTGGAGAAGCCTCTGGTGACAATGTGGTATAATGCGCTCAACATACCACATTGGCACGGTATGCCTCTGCGCATGCAGTACAGAGCGATTTGTAATGATAGTCGCATAGGCTCCATGTCAGAACCTACTGGATCCAAATACATTTCTTAGACATGGGCAAAGCTCTTCCAATGTGCGTAGCACTCCACATTTGTCTCCAAAAAACAACTGTGCAAAAAATTTGATAACATTTTTCATACCCAGGATAGGAGCAGATGGGTATTGGTGAGTGGGAATGAATAAATTTAAATGCAATGGGGGAGAGTTCTAAAATGAGGAGAACTGATCCACCTTCTGCTGTGACACACACTCAGACACTACGCACATAGAGCTAATCATGCTATTAAAGACTCTGGGTCTGGCCTTCCATTAGGTAATACACGAAGGATCTTCAAGGCATCCTTGCACTTGTGTGTGTGTGTGCGCGCACAGGTGCACACACACACATACGCACAGAGGAACTACCAGCCACCTTCTCTATTTGATGTGCATTCCTAGGAAGGATCCTGTTCTGGATGTTTCAGTGTTGTTTCAGTGATGTTTCAGCTCCAGGTTGATGCGAGTATTTCAGCTAGAATCACAACCACCGGCCATTCCAATTCCTTCCCAGTTTTTTCTTCCAAAAGTGGGCTGATTTTTCCATGCCATTTGCTGCACAAGTGACATAGATCAGTTCCTCTTGCCACTTTTACAATGCACTCAAACCAGCCACAGTCAGAAACTGAAAGTCATGGTATCCAATTATTTTGTACAGTCTTTCAGTTCATTACATTTGCATATATACCAAAGTCTCAAGGAATGGGATCAAATTTAAGTATGGCCCATTTCCTTAAAGCCTCTTACCTCTTTCTCGAACACAATAATGCTATTGCTTTCCGTATGATGTCTTTGTTTACACATGTATATGAATCTGATTTTGTATATGAATATGAATCTGATCTGACTGAAATAACAGTTAGAAATATAATACAATTAACTAAGGCAACGTATAGGTATGCGTGCATACACACTCCAGTAGAGATGAACAGGGATTATAGAGATTGGGAAAATGAAAATTTCTTTGCCTGGCATCAGAAATGCAGCAGTGTGGGCACCAGGAACACCTGCTCAGGGAATAAAATCCCCATATCCTTCTTTCTGTCAGGTGCCCTGGCAGTACTGGAACCAGGAACCAAATATCTATTTTTAAACATCAATTCCATGGGAAATGTACTTCAAAGACTGTGTATTTCCTCCATCTCAGTTTTCTGGCAGACTATTCCTGTTCACTTTCTATGCTACTAGAAAAGCTTTCTGAATTGTTCCAAGTGCTGACTCTGTTAGGCTGTAGGAGAGGCGGAAGGGTTGTATTTCCAGAGAAAGGTGTTTCAAACCTCTTGTCTCCCATTTCTCTACTCAAGGACACCCTTGGTGGTGGATTTGATGCCACCCAGGCATTTGTGGGAGAACTGGCACATTTCAACATCTGGGACCGAAAGCTCACCCCTGGGGAGATCTACAACCTTGCCACCTGCAGCACCAAAGCCCTGTCTGGTAGTGTCATAGCTTGGTCCGAGACCAACATTGATATTTATGGTGGAGCCACAAAATGGACATTTGAAGCCTGTCGTCAGATCAACTAAAAGTGCTGTTCTTTTCCCTTCCACTTTCCAAATTCATTTAACCCTTGGTTAACAGACATTCTTCCCCACCCAGGAATGCATTATGGACAAATCTATTTCCTTTCTTTCTTCTGTCTTGCTTTCTTTTAAAAATCCTTTTGTTTGTCCTAGAGAATCAGTTACTTTTTTTTTTTTTTTTTTTTTTGGTCTAGGAGACTTGGTCCAAGTTTCTCAGACAACTCTAAGGCAACTTGGAACTTTGCAACCTGACAATAAAGGGAGAGGGTTCATCGGTTCCCCATTCTCTCCTTTGTCTCTTTCCCTTTTTGGATCGATAATTTATTCTCCTTTCATTTTGCTTTACGAAGTCTCATTACAAATGGTCTGATTTTTCTGGCTTGCCAACTTTGTTTCAAAGCCTGAGTGCCTTTGGGCTGGTGCGACTCTTTCAGCACATTCGTCTTCATTTGCATATACTTTTTAAAGGATATCTCTATATTCCTACTCTACTCAATGTCTTTTAAGCAGCCATTCACCTGTAGGCAGATATTTATTTTTTATTTTGTATGACAAACTATTCTCTACTAGGAGGATAAATGCTTTTGAATGACGCATGATGATGGCTTGACTAGGAGTTCTGGGGTGGGGGTAGGACTGTTCTCTTCAGCACTACAGGTCCCCCATGATGCCCCATCAGCTGTACATACTCCTGGCTATAGCCAGAGCACAAAACAGCCATCTTTGCCCCCAAGGGTACATGTGAGACTCAGGAGCATTGCCAGGCCATGGATCTGAGACGGCTTGTCTAGATCCGGGATTATTCGTAGGAGCCTCTCTCTCCTACCTATTTTGATGGAGCTGAGAAACAGCTCCTTTTCCTACTCTGCCTTCATTTTGCTGTACAGCCTAAAGGATCTGCCTCTATTAGCCATCACAAAGCCTGCCCGTAGTGCAGAGGACCTGCCTTCCACAGGCATTAGTTAATGCTTCTCCCAAAGCTCTATGACCTGAATATGGCAGAGACCCCCCCTCCCCTCCATTCATCCCCTTCTCTCTCCCTTCCCAGCTTCAAGGCAGGGGCTTCTGCCCTTCCCTCCCAAGGTAGTGCGTCCTGGGCATCTCACCAAACACTTGGCTGGGAGATGGAATTTTCTTACTGCTTTTTGACCCATAACCTTTCCAGCGCTCCTTTACTCTAAGAGCCATAAACCTCAAGGGCTGGGGGGGGGGGGGGGGGGGGAGGGCGGGTAGTGGCAGTCGGATGCAAAGCATGTGGTTGCAGTCCGACCTCCATGGCCATACTGCTGAGCTGAGATTTTTGCCTTTTAAATACAAATTGGGTTCATGGCAGGTGGCAGTCTGTAGAGTGCAACTCGCCTTGCTTGCCCCATGCTTATTGGGCCCAAAGGGATTTGAGGTCTGTTTTGCTTTCAGAAAGGTTAAAAGCTCTTCCTTTTTGAATGGAGAAGAGAAGGGACAAAGGACCAAGCCGGGTATTGCTCCAACGCCTCTGTGGGGAGCACTGAGCCAAGGTAGTGGCTCTCTGTGGTCTGTTTGCCCAACATAATTGGGACACGGCCTGCACGATTCCTTCAGAGCAACAGAAGGGACCCCTAAAGAACTGCATGAATTTGTGGAGCCTTCAGAGACTTCAGGCCAAGTGCACAGTGCCCATTTCTTAGTATGGTAATCAGGACAGAATGGATTGGATCGTGCAAAACACTCGCTGTTCTCAGTGTCTGGAAGAGTGTAGTGGGCAGGCTTTTTAGGGGGTTGCAAATGGACTAGATGAGAGTGCCTGTCTTCCCACCATTCGTGGCAATGGATTGCACTGCACAGTGTTGCTTTCCGTGGATTTTCTTGGTTGTCTCCCAGTCTGTAGTACCCTTAGATTTCCTGCAGGCTTCTAGGGAAGGCAAGGGGTGCACTGTTGTTTCTTGCATGTTTCAGTAGGTGCCTCCATCATGTTTTACCTGGTCTAATGCTTGCCTGCTTGCATGGGCTACTGCAAAGCTGTGGCGGTTTGCCGAGTGATAGTTCACGCTTTAAAAACAAAAGTCATCCAAGCACATTTGCAGAGGTCAGGCGTGGCTAGAAAAAGGTGGCTGGCTAATGATGCAGTGTTCTTCCTTGTGGTAGACTGCAGTATACTTCTTGTATATAAAAAGAGAACCAGTCAAAATCCTGGTGATTCTCAAATCATGGGAATTGTTCCCTTCAGCATGACCTTATTGTATAAATCCTGGGAAGCCAGAGCTCTCAGTTCAGTATTTGAGCTGCCCTACAAGACAGCAGTGGAAGCTGTTTTAAGCACTTCTGCCATGATCAAGTATACTGTGCTGTTGGATCAGACCTTACTGGTGCTCACCAAAGCAGACGTGCTTGGAGCTGCCCCGTCAGTGTCACTGGTGGTGGCCTTTTCCACGCCAGACTTCCTGAGAACTGTACCTTCTGCTCCAAGGCTGTTTTAGTGAGCACAGAACCTGATCCGCCCAAATCAAGCCTCTTGCTTAATGCGATTAATGTTTCCTCTTGCACTGAATAATACATGCCTCTCTCAGGTAATGTCCTTTTATAAAAATGAATGAGCACTACACAAGCAGTATTGCCGAAATACTGTCAGACAGTTCCCAAAAGCCTCCTCTTAAGGAGGTAATTCACTGGCCATTTACGCAGGTATTGGAGTTTCACTGAAGCCCTTGCACTGCTACATCAGCTTAGGCAGTCAGTGACTCGCCCTCTGCCACTTGATCCTAAACATGCATAAGTTAGGAGTAAGTCCTAATCACATCCATGTTTGGAATCACAGCTGTGATATGCTATTAGTTAAAATTGCATTTACTGTCCCTTGAAAGTTTAGCTACCATTCAAAGGTCAACCTTTCTGCTTTTGTAAACACACACACAAATGATTTCTCTTATTGTAACAGGAGTTTACTACTGAGAATGAAAGGTATTTTTATTAGAAAAATAATATATAGAAAATGAATGGGTACTCCCTGAAAAAATACTTTTACGCTACAGGTGAAGGATATGAGGAAGATATAACTTATTTTGAATATATGATGTTTTATACAGGGTTTTTTTTAAAGAATTCCTGGTTTGTACTAATAGATTTGGAGTCATCACCCCTTTAAATGATCTCACCCTCTCTCATCCTGGCCAAGGAGTTTTTCCTGACCAGAGGGGGAAGGGAGGGGCAGAAGACTTACTGAGCCTTTTTGACCAACTCTAAAGCTGTGGCAAATGAATATGCAACGTGGATGGGCACGTAATAAATAGTTCAAGGTTGATGTTGCACTATTGGAAGGCTGCTGCTTGTCAGATATTGAAGTGGGTCAGGTGACTGCCCAGACAAAAATGGAGTGCTGGAATGCCAGGGGAAGAAATCTATCTAAATAAAATCAACAGAAACCCAACCTCAATATCTTGTTTGTAAATCTCAGCTCAAGGCAGCATATTTTAAGCAGTGCTCTTTAAAACCAAACAACAAAATTGTACCTTGTAAGATCAATCTGCTAGCAATCCTTATTGGAAACTTTCATGAAACTTACAATGAATGTTATCTTTAATTTGATGAAGAGGAAAAAATGCAGAGATAAACAAATCCAGTCCAAATTGCGTGTGATTTGCCAAAAATTAAAAAGGGTGATAGTGATACTATTGTATATACTGTACAGTGTGAAAGAGGACAAACATTTCTCGAGTTATCATTCTGTTAACCAAAGCTGTATATTTTTCCTATTTCTTGCTATCCGTCTTTACTGGGTTTTGAATGAGTTGTTGTTGTATCTTAAATCCACAGTCCACATCAGCAGTTCTTAAAATGCACTGTTTCTACTGGTTCTTCATGCTTTTTCTTTCTTTTCTTTTGTTCATTTTATTGCTGAAACTACATGAATTGTCAAGTTTATTTTTACACAATAAAGAGTGATGAAAGACACTTGGTTGCATTCATTTCTTCACCAAAGGATTCTCTCCCAGAATGGCCCCAGCACTGGGGTACAATTCCCTGAACAGCAAGGGACTCCTGTTCGGAAAAGGCAACGGAGATGGCGCAATCAGATCCCCCAGGACTGCAGCACAGAATGTGGCCCTTCTGCCACAGTTCTGCAAAGCTGGCTGAAGCAGCCACAGTACCTGCTCTCCAGCCAAACAGACCAGGTGACCAGCAGCTGCATGCCAGTTGGCTGTTATTTACTCGTAACCTCTACTTTCTGCCAACTCTTATGTCAAAATAGTTAGGTTTGCCCAGCTTTCTCTGCTTTGCCTTCTTGATCCAGTACCAATCTGGCAGGGACTATTTTGGTCCCAGTTTTGCATTTGCCTTCATCCAACTCATCTCTTATATCCAATCCCTTGCCTGTTCTCTCCCCGCTATTTTAGGCAAACAGCGAGGATAGCATATGTCCTCAGCTCCATGCCTCAATAGCCTTTAACTCCAAGCAGGACTATACACTGTTTGCTTGATCTGTTGGCACCATCAGCTCACGCAAACTGCCCTTATCATTCCTCAGATCCTCTGATGGAAGGGAAGCTCTATCAACTGCCTGCCCTCTATGAAGAGCAGAGAATAACACTGACCTTTCAAGATTCCTAGTGGTTGGAGCAAGAGGGAGAAATATTGACCTGGTTTGCTTAGAACATGAATGCATGGCTTATTTAACCCATGGCTGCCCTATCCATAGTTTGTCTAGCTGACAATTGAACAAAGAGGTTTGTTTTTTCAGTCCTTTGGTTGTTTCCATCATTGTTCTCCTGATTCCTCCTTGTATCCAAATGTCTTTGTGGCTCTGCAATAGTAGGGAGTAGCTTTTCAATTTTTATTTTTTACCATTCTTGCCTGCTGCCGCTGTAGCCTAGTAAAACAGCCTGTAACAAACCACAGTTCTAAGTCCACAGGTAACAATCCATGGTTTAAACATCCTAGAATTCACAACCAAACAACACACCATGGATTCTTTTTCTGGGCAGTTTCTGATTAACAAACCATGGTTAGTGAGCACAGCCATTTTACACATC